GATAAGTTTGGTGATTTTCTTAATAATATTATTTGTTCTTGAATATTGCTACTTTCAATTTCTAATAATGATTCTTGTGTATTATATCTTTCTAGATATGAATATAGATTAAGAGCACCTTTAATTGATGAATAGCAAAATTCTGTTTAAATTGAGGTAGAATTTTGCATTATTATGGTTTTAAAAATTTCAGCAATTTCATTATAGTAAGTAGTTTTTGGTACACCTAAATTTGGATCAAAAAAGGAGCAACTACTGGAAGGCCTGCTTCTAATGGTTGAAACTTATTATAAAACTCTGCAACTCTTAGCCTATTTTCTTTAAGAGCTTTATTTCAAATGCTTCATACTCCATTAAAAAGTCTAGCAGACTTACTGGACCAACTATAGTATCTTTAAGATCTACATGTACAAATTCAGGACATTGAATATTATTGGTTATTTCTTTAATACACATATGACTAACCGGTTCCAAAGTTGTAGTCTCTTCTTTATTTTTAAGTATTGCTTTACGTTTTTCTGAATAAATTTCAATTTTTTCGATACTTGAATTACAAGCAATAGCACTTAATATTAAGCAATTGCTAATGATGTTAATGTAAATTCTTTAAGTTTTAGAATGCTTTGAATGTTGACGTTTAATTATTTTTTTAGATATTGATTTTGTTATACTTAAAATATAAAAAAAAAATTAGCAAATAAAACAAACAAACAAGTAAATAATTAATTACTAATACAGTAATAGATATATGCTGCTTTTTGACTCCATTATATCTATCATCTTCTTCATCTTTATCATATCTGTCACCTTTATTACTATCACTATTTAGTTCTTCATACATATCATTACCCTTTTTATTATATTTTATAATTAAAAATTCTTATTAGTAATTTATTTATAAACATATACCTAAACATTTTTACTTAATTATAATACCTTCGCTCGTAGAAAACATGTGTAGTTCTTCATATTGTATTTTGAAAATTTTATCATCTTCGTGAAGATCTGAGATTACTTCAAGTAACTTGTCAATCTCGCCAGATAGTTTGCTCGTGAAGTCGAGATCTTCACTAGATCCCAACTTTCAGAAGCAAAACTGGCGTACACTATCATTGGCATATGAAATTTTGATTTCATTTGCTAAAAACTGAATGCATTTAATATGGTTGTTTATATTGAATAATCTTGCCAAATATAATGAGCACATTAAGTTGTTAATAAATTCTAAAAATAAAATAAATTAAATAAAAATTAATTAATAAAATTAGTATAAATTAATATTAATAAAAAAATTAAATAGAAGTAAATACAGAATGCGAGACTCGAGGTTTGTGGCAAAAAAAGTAGAAATAATTAATTAATTAATTAGAAATAAATAAATAAATAAACAATTAATTAATTAATTAGAAATAAATATATAAATAATAATTAATAAATTAATAAAAAATTA